GGATCCCCCCTGGGATTATTGGTTTGCTGTCTGGCCTGTATACAGATACTGAGAGTGCTGCCAAGTGTGGGGAGGGCATCTCTGCCTTTTTCCCGGTGTCTGCCGGGGTGAGACAGGGATGTGTCCTGGCCCCAACCCTTTTCAATACTTGTATGGACTGGATACTTGGCCGTACCGTGAACCGTAGTTCCTGTGGGGCATCAATTGGTAATTTCAAGTTCACAGACCTTGACTTTGCCGATGATGCAGTGACTCTAGCGGAAGTAGCTCTCGAGGCGCTGCATGAGGAAGCGAAGCCGTTGGGACTCGCGGTCAACTGGACCAAAACCAAGGTTCAGGAATTTGGGGACTTTTTGGATGTCGATGTTCAGTTTGTGTATGCCTGTGGCGAGAACACTGAGGTCTTGGATAGCTTCACTTATCTTGGTAGTGTAGTGCAGAGCGACGGAGGTTCCGAGCGGGAAGTCACTCGACGACTCGGACTGGCCTACGGCTTTATGGACTCACTCAAAAGGAGTATTTGGCGCTGTCGGTATTTGACTAGGAGAACTAAGATCAGGCTCTTCAGAGCACTGGTGATCCCGGTCTTACTCTATGGGTGTGAGACCTGGACACTGAACAGTGCTCTGAAAGCCCGTCTTAACTCCTTCGGTACTAAGTATCTTCGTAGAATCATGGGGTATACCTGGTGGGACCACGTGTCCAATCAGAGGATACTCCATGAGACTGATTCAAGACCTATTACCAGTCTGATACGAGAGCGCCAACTTCAGCTCTATGGACATGTGGCTCGTTTCCCTGAGGAAGATCCGGCTCATAGGGTCATCTCCGAGAGGGTTGACCCAGGCTGGAGAAGACCAAGGGGAAGGCCACGGAACTCATGGCTGAAGCAAGTCGATCAGATCTGCCAAGATGTACTGGGTATGGGAAGGAATGTTGCATGGAGGCTCGTTCGGAGGGACCCCAGGAGGTGGATGCAAAGGTTGGGCGCGGCAAAGCGCAGCCATGCATATACCCCCTTATGATGATGATGATGAATGCTAGTATTTGATCGATAATATGTAGGTCTCTGTTGGCACGCCTTAATCACTGTATTGTTTTATTAGTTTCTTATCTAATCGGTTTTTAAGTGAGGCTGCCGGTGTTGCCGCTGACCTGGCCTTTGGAGTCGACTTAACACGCCTGGGAATGTGTGGATGTTTGGTGCAGAGTACAATGAATGAAGGGGACGATAAGTAGATTTTCGGGGAGGTTGGATTAAGAAAAGACGATTGGCAGCAGAGGTTCCTTCCTGATCCCTGGGTTGGGCGGGAATCCGAAAAGTTTGTGCCTTTGTACCCATTGGTTTTGAATATTAGAATTGATAGTAAATGTTGTAGACCATGGGAAAGCTGAATAGACAGAAAAAAAAAATTAGAATTCTTAAGTAGGGAGATAATTTTAGTGTAGATGTGCACTCTCGGACATTGAATGACTACAACTCGGACAAAATGTTCAATATCAAAGATATTCCTCAAAATAGGCTACTTTATCATAGTGGAACATATTTTCTGGCGGCATATAGCAACCCTCAGAGGACCCTCTTTCACATATTAATCCAGAGATGTAAGGCTGTCGTATCATATTCTCCTAAAGATTTCTGGTAGAAAATCATAACTGGCAACTCATCCCTGATCCTGGAATACTTCGATTCGAGAAAAAGAAAATATTAATGTTGAAGACAGCAAATTCCGATCAAAAATGTATATAATTCTATAAATACAAGACATAACTAAGCATAATTAAGTGTTAGCCGATTTGAATAAACAGACTAAATAATAGATAGAATAAACAGTGAGTCGGACTGCTCCAGGGTGAGTTGACAGGTTTTCTCTTCCTGAGATTTGTTGCAGGATTTTCGGGCTGCATTCTCTGGTTTACCTTTAGGAATTATATAATAACATATGATCCACCACTTTCGCCCTTTTTTTCTTTTGTGTGTGTGTGATTTTTTGCACTGCTTTCCATGTATGCGGGAAGTCAAATTCTATATAACACGGTCAAGAGGGGCAGTGGTATCAGACTCTGCACTATGCATCAGCTGGACTTTTTTTTATCATGGCTGTGCATTTAACAGTAATCTGTCTTCTTATCACACGAGTTCACCACTGCATGATAATTGAAGAAAGTACATGCGAAATGATTTAGGGGATTGCAAAAGCGTAAATCACAATAAAAACAACAAATTGAATATAAATACGCAACTCTAAGAATACCTAAACTATAGTTCATTACGGCCGAATGCTGCCTTGAGTTTCTTACTCTCCTATTGTGCCCACGTCGGGACACGGAAGATTTTGACTGAAATCATAGGGTATTATGAAAAAAAAAAACTATTATACATTTATTATTATAGAATACCATAATAAATTTATACTGTAGCCAAGAAAGCGTGATTCTTTGCCTTTACTAGATGTTAACTTTATGCAACCAAGATAAGTTGACTGTATCGTCTCTTACTTTTTTAAATAGATATAAATAACCTTTTTTTTCTATTACGCGTAAGAGTACGTTCACATTACTATTTTGTCGTCACTAAATATATCACCAAAAGACCGAAGCTTGTATTATTTTCCTAACAATGCCACACACCTTAGTTGAAATGAGAAAACAGACACTGCTTTACTATAACAAACCTACTTTGGTTTCAGAGTTGTCATAACATCTATCATATATATTTCTTTCCATCTGTTCATCGCAGAATTGAGAGAGAGAGAGAGAGCGAAAGAGAAAGATACATAGACAGACAGAGAGAGAGAGAGAGACAGACAGATAATTGTAACAGCGTCCATCTCCCCTCCCCCCCTTCCGTTGTTCCACCTTACAGCTGAACACCGTCATTTGTTCAGATGATTGCGCTGCAACCTTGTGAACCATAACGCCTGGACATGTGCTCTCGAATGTAGATTCGTTTTGTCAGGTTTACACATAGGTGGCTTTGCATACGTTTAATCAGCAGGAAGCCAGTCACTAGGCATATGATCTCATGTGTCTATACCGTTCCTTGAATATTCGTGAAAAATGCTTTATCAATTGCTATTATTATTTATGTTATGTTATGTTATGTTATTATTATTACTATTATTATTATTATTATTATTATTATCATTATTATCATCATCATCATCATTATTATCATCTCCTTCTTCATTAGTATTGTTATTATCATTATTATTATTATTATCACCATCATCATCGTCATCATCATCATTATCATCATCATCACTATATATCATCATTATTATCATCATCATTTTTATCATCATTTTCATCATCATTTTCATCATCACCATCATTATTATCATTATTATCTTCCTCCTAAATATTATTGTTATCATCATCATTAACGTCATCATTAACAATATTTGTTTTTGATCCGGAATTTCGTGGAATGGGGAAAATAAGTGATGTGACGAAAGCCTAGTAACTCACTCCTTAGTGACTAGGCGCTTGTGAACCCATCTGTTTGTAGGCAAAAATAAGAAAACAAAACCACAGTAGACAGTGCATACATCTATGTACTCTCGGCTGCCAACAAGTAAATTTCTCCAGAAGTTAACTCAGGAGGCAAGCAGCCGCCATAACACGTCAGTCTCTGCTCGCTCACCAATATGTAATAACATACATACGCATAGAGAGATACACACATACGCACCTAAGTACATGTATATGTATATATATATATATATATATATATATATATATATATATATATATATATATATATATATATATATATATATATATATATATTTACATATTTGTGTATGTGTGTATATGTATATGTATGTGTGTGTGTGTGTGTGTGGATAACACGTCTCTGAAGCCAGACGATTTCAGATATCTAGCTATGGAAAACTTTCCGCAGGTTCCGGAGACGACCGAAATCCCAGCTGCCTTCAAGTCCCGTACCTTTTTTCTGAACAATTCCCTTGGCTTTCGACCTGCAATGTGACTGGCTAATGTCTAATGTGTTTCCTAGGTCTGTATTAACGAGAGGGCAAAGAAGGGAAATTCAGTCGTCTCAATCTCAATCTCAATGTTGTTAAAGTTAAGGGCGCTAAATATTAGCGTATATCATGAAAGTAATACTTTCACCAATAAGAAATAGATATAGCCTTCATATGCGATTCTTTTGGTAAATATGAAATCTCATATGAGACTCTCATATCAATAGTTTCCGTACTTTTTCTTCATAACACATTTTATCCCAGATTTATAACTTTTTCTTTTACATTTTCTTTGGATGTCATCATGCGTCAGATGCATTCTTTATTATTTAATGTGAGGGCAAAGGAGGATAAATACTACTAAGATATTACTTTTACCTAAAATATATAAAAGTAATTTTACATTTGCTATATCGTATTGTAACGGAAACAAGAAAATCGCATGCAATACTCCTATTTTAATGTTTATTCGTGTTCATTTCAATATTTTTCGTATTTGTTCTGTATAATCTTGTTTAAACCCAAATGAACTGCTCGTACGGAAATTTTATCCGAAAGTTCCACAGCCCAGTGTGGATTCAGGCGTTATCTCTGGTCGTGCTTTTAGGAAAGCAACCTCTAGTAACTGCTTTGAGTACACATACACATATACACATTTGTATACAGGGAAATACATAACATTCCTGAACATCTAACAAAACCTAAATCAGATTGAAGAAAAAATTATAAAGGAGTAAGACCTAATTTCAATAAATCCCTAAGAAATTCTAATATGATGCCTTGCTCGAGTACAAAAACAACGACTTGTCTTCACTGAACACTTTTAGATTCGATTAATAAAAGCCATCTTATCATCGAACAAAATCCAGTAAAAAAAAAAAATAATAAATTGAAAATAAACGAACGATTCCTTCCCAAATGACTTCAAAATTACGCGAAAGCTAAAAGGAAAGCCTAAAAGAACGTCTAGCTTTGCCCGGATTCCTCTGGATTCCAAAAACGGCGGGTCCCCAACAACAACACCACGCTCAGTTGGCGCTACACGTGTGGGGGAGAAGTGGCCTTACTGCCGGATGAGTGTGGTCTTGGAAAAAGGTATGTTATTTAGAGTATTGAAGTAATTGATTAAGAGGATGTTTGAGAATAAACATTAATGCCTGGTGTTATTGTTTATTCTCCTAATGAACGCTTTCATTATCAGTTAAGAAACATATTGAGAAAGTAAAGTGATATATCAACCGGGTACAGGCATTTAAACCAAAATTTAGCTCAGAGTGCAGATCAATCAGTCAAAGACTTATGGATAACGGTGAAAGCATATGACAAAACTCCACTTAAAAAGCTGTTCTATTGTATGCATATTCCCGATGTGTAGAAATCATCTAATTATGGTATGGTAGATTTTCATTAAGGCACACACTACTGTACACAGCATCATAAACCAGCCTCTGGAACTGTACCTAGAAACACCAGATTTCCAGAAAAATGATCAGTTGTGTGGAGTATCTGCACATGCATCACAACACTGATACTGATGAATTCCTCACACATACTGTTCATACAAGTAAGAATTATGGTGTCGGAATTTACTTGCACCACACAAACTTGGGCTAAGTACTAAGAGGGCATGAAGGGTAAAATATAAAGGAAAACAAACACTGTGCACTGATACACCCAAGAGGTTTATCACCAAATAAGGAACCAGTCCAAGCTTTATTTTAGCAGGATATACATACAAGCTGTTTGTTGACCTTTATGCTGCTGTGCCATTAGGTGCTGAGGCAACCATGGCAAACAACCTTGGTGGCTCACAAGCCCTTTCTAACCAGAATTTGCCTGGTAAAAGTTTTTTTTTTTCGAATATTGCATATGGGTATTGCCTTTGTGTTTCTGTCTCTCTGCAGTCCTCGTTTGAAGATTTACGCAAGCAAATAACAAAGTTGTTAAGGGTAGCAGGCAAGTGATTTCCAATTCCTTCATCCACCCTTCTGCCCTTTTCAAGGTCATGCACTCCTTCCGCTGCACCATCCATGGAACCATCTCACATTCCTCTGAACTTCTATTTTAGCATGCTTTCTTTAAACCATACACATGAAATGTAAAAGCTTTCAGGAATATCCTCTCAGTGACAGATAACAAAAGAATTGTTCAAGAACATCCCTCAGTGCTAATGCTTTCATACAACTTTGAGTCAAAATTTCCCAACTTTGAGATGGATAAAAATTGTAACCTGTAAATTTTCCTAATTTTGTAGGTATAGATATGATTACCTTACCTATTTTCTCTTAAAATATGCCTTGATTTCCATTCATAAATGATAACAAGTTCTTTGCAAGTTTCAAATTTTATTTTGACAGTGATGTAATACCATAGATATATGTTTAATTTTTAAAATAATTTTGGAAATGTATAATTAATTTGACTATGAGGACGAGTTGAAGTCAGTGACACGATAAATCTCAAATCAATATAACTAATTTTAGCAATAAGTTATAGCCTGTTATTTTTATCCAGGTGTCTTATATGTTTGATATCTTAACTATCTCTGGAATCCTGTAACATAGTAACAACATTCTCTTTTCTTTCTTTCCAGAATTCATCAATTAATAAACCATCAAAAATGAAGATAGAAGTCAAGACAAAAAAGAAACCCTCTGTACCTTCAGTAAAGACAATGGGAGTCAAAAAGAAAGCCACAGCATCTGGAGTTGCAGCAAAGGGGAAAAAGGCAGCCATTGCAAAGGAGGTGAAGAAGACAGCCATAGCAAAGGAGGGGAAGAAGGCAGCCATTGCAAAGGAGGGGAAGAAAGCAACCATTGCAAAGGAGGGGAAGAAGGCAGCCATTGCAAAGGAGGGAAAGAAAGCAGCCATTGCAAAGGAGGGGAAGAAAGCCGTTGCATCATCTGCAAAGGAAGCAGCAGCCAAGAAGAAGACAGCCAAGGTGACTCCAGCTGCTAAGAAGGATGCTGCAGTAGATTCACAGAAGGTGGATGTCAAGCCCAAAAAGGTGGAGAATGGAAAGCAAATGAAGAAGGAAGTTGATGCAGCTTCAGGAGCAAAAGCAGGACCCAAGAAAAAGCAAAAGGAAGGTGATAAAGGCAGTAAACCTGAAGGAAAAAAGAAGAGGATGAGGAGAAAGGTGACAAAATGTTTTTCTTCTTCTTTTTCTTCTTCCTTTTCCTTTCTATCCTTTTGTTCTTTTTCTTTTTTCATTATGTGTGTGAGAGAGTGTATATATATACATACATACATACATATATATATATATATATATATATATATATATATATATATATATATATATATATATATATATATATATATATATATATATATATATATATAATGTGTGTGTGTGCATGTGTGTATGTATGCATGTGTATGTATATATTCATGCACATATACATGTATATATGTATATATATACATATACATATAGATAGATAGATAGATAACTGTTATCTTAAAGTATTTTTACACTTGCTAATGACATGTGTGTGAAAAGTATAGTAATTCAAATAGAATCATATGACTACTTTTCATTATTATCAGAAATATTTGTTAATTTTTAGTAATAAATAAACATTGACACAAATATTCATTACTCTTAGCTTTAAAAAAAAAAAAAAAAAAAAAAAAAAAAAATCAGTTCCCAGCTATCAAGTGCTTCCAAATGCCTAACCACCAGTATACTTTGAACGCAGAGTCGCAAGCCCAAGGTAAGGAAAGTCAAAGTCATTGAAGAGACACAAGCGAAGCCGGAGGGGGAGGGGGAGGAGGAGGAGAAACCAGACTCTACAGGGAAGCAGGTAAAATAAGAATTTCTTTCTTTCTTTCTTTGTTATTGTTTTTGTTATTATATTTTTTTTTGGAAATGAGATAAATACAATATCCTTTTGACATAATGTTTACATGCTTTACACGCAAAACTCCACACCCACACCCACACCCACACCCACACCCACACCTACACCCACACCCACACAACCACCCACAACCACACACAACACCCACAACCACACACCCCCCCCCCACACACACACACACACAATGTCAATCTAATAAGTATCCTTTGAACACAGAAACGCAAGAGCGAGAATAGTGACGATGGGAGCCCTGCTAAGAAGCAGAAGAAGGCAGAGAAGAAACCAGAGCCTCCAAATATGGAGGTGAATTTGGATGCTTCTTTTTCTTTTTAGTTCACTTCTTTTTTCTTCTGTTATGGAAATAGTTAGGTACTGTAAACTGGGGTTACTTTGGCCCTTGGGGGTGACTTTGGCCCCAGACACAGAATTTGTTTTATGACTCAGAGGGGCAGTATTCAAAATCCTGAATGTTCCTTGTAGTGTACTAATGTTTTATAAAGGGCTTTTCCTCATAAAATTGATAAGCAGAACAAAGATCAGTGTTATAAAAAATTCTTAGCATCTTTATGTGTAGCTACATAAAAATGCTGAGAATTTTTTACGTAGGTACACATAAAGATGCTGAAAATTTTTCATAACACTGATCTTTGTTGTTCTGCTTATCAATTTTATGAGGAAAAGCCCATTATAAAATATTGATACACTACAAGGAACATTCAGGTGTGTTGTGTGTTGTGTGTTGTGTGTTGTGTGTTGTGTGTTGTGTGTGTGTGTTGTGTGTGTGTGTTGTGTGTGTGTGTTGTGTGTGTGTGTTGTGTGTGTGTGTTGTGTGTGTGTGTTGTGTGTGTGTGTTGTGTGTTGTGTGTGTGTGTTGTGTGTGTGTGTTGTGTGTTGTGTGTGTGTGTTGTGTGTGTGTGTTGTGTGTGTGTGTTGTGTGTTGTGTGTGTTGTGTGTGTGTGTGTGTAGATAGATAGATAGATATAAATATATATATATATATATACACACACACATATACCTTTCATCTAATGAAAAGAATGTTCAAAAAGTATTTAGATATCAAATTAACCAACAATGATTTTCTCTCTAAAGACTGTGCAGTCATTAGTCCTCTTTTTCTTCCTCTTCCTATTATTATTATTATTATTATTATTATTATTATTATTATTATTATTATTATTATTATGATTTTACATGTAAAGGACATTTTTATGATAGACATAACTGAAATACATTTCTGTGACTCATTTATTTAAGTAAATATAAATTCCTGATATTTTTCCAAGAAAATTGATGTCTTGAACCAAGTAATTATAAATGTTTCCTATTCTTGGGGGGGAGGGGGGGAAAAATTGCAAAAAAAAAGCTTGCCGTATGCTAAATAAAAGTACACCTAGCACTATCATCATAATTTTTTGTGTTCCCAGATGAATTTGACAGGAGAGCTCTACAAAATTTTCTGCAAGCGAAGGGACGACTTGAAGGATCGAGCCCTTTATGCCACGGTGGAGAATTTCAAGCTTGGTTACTATTCTAAGCCCCCTGCCCTGTTTAGTAGTGCGCAGCATGTTAGAATATGTGCAGAGTGAGTAGCTTTCTGTTTCTGTTGATTTATGTGTGAGGAATGTTAAGATGGAAGAAAAGAGAGAAAGAAGGAAAGATTATGAGAGTGAGAGATAGAGCCGTGCCTGTATAGAAATGTATTTGCAAATTGTGTATGACAATTACATAGAATTTGCAGCCTTCTCACTGTCATGTCCATGCTGATTTTGCAGATTACTACTTGTAAAATCTTTGTTTGAAATCAATGCTGATCAAGTAATCCAGTTTTAGTAGACAGGTATAAGTGAAAAGTTTAAGATAATGAATTTTTCCTATTATGATATTTAACATATGGTTAGATTATTTTATCATATGAGAATAATAAGTGTTGTTCAAGTGGTATAACTTAAAAAAAAAAAAAAAGGAGAAATTGACTACATGGCAACTTACACCTATGCGGAGAGGGATAAGCATGATTTATGAATATGTGATTGACCTGCCTATGTTTTCTTGGTGTGGGTGGGTGGGTGGGTGTGGGTGCCTCCCTGATTACCCCCCACCCCCCAAACCAACCCACCCAACACCTTCATCAGTCTCAAAACTATGTACCTTAGATGGATGCTTATGTCTAGATAGGTCATTTTAGGTATATGTCCATATTATTAATTTTGATTTGTTAACATCATCTTCTACAGGAAAGGTTTATTCTATTTGGAATATAAGACCAAAAAGGAGGCAGAGAAGCACAAATTAATCTTAGAAAACAACAGTTTGATCAAGCATGTAAAGTCGCCCAAGGATAATGAAGACGGCAATACAGATGGCACCATAAAAGTGCACCCCAGAAGGTAAGTTGCTTTTTCCATTCTTTCTCCCCTAAAGTCACATGATAATGTACTCTGTATTTCTTACTTTGTTTTTGCTCTAGCACAGGGTTGCAAATTAAGATGGGGGGAGGAGGAGGAAGGGTGGGAATTCCACTAAAACTGACACAGATTCTTATTGTGTTTTCAATTTGCAGGCTGTTCATTGCAAATGTGCCACCGCGTATAAAACGTGACATGTTGGTGGCTAGTTTCCCAACTGCTAAGTATGTTCGCATTCTACCCACGACACGGTAAGATGATCAATCTTTTTGAAGTTTGCCAGTTGGGCAATGTTGTTAATAATGATAATGTTATGCTCATATTGAGACAGAGTTTTGTATTTTTGTATGGTTTTAGTTTTTCTTTCATGCCCATATGTGACCCAAAGCAGAAACATTATGCTTATTCTAAAGGTGACTCCTGGATATTTGGCTTGTAGGCATGGCCCACATAAACACTTGTGTGCAGTATCAAGACTCTTTTTTCTGCATATGCATTTTCTGCTTTTTTGCCATTTCCTATGTCTATATTTGTCATTTGATAAGTTTTATCAAGATGGTAATTAACCCATTCGCCACATGTGGCAAGAATAGATGCCATGCCCACTTTGATACACATTGATTTATTGTATTTACACATAGATGACTCCACAAGTTCTTAACCCATTGCCACCGGGGAAAATGAACAAAAAATGGGGGAAATGCAGTACTCATTTTTTATATTTTTGTGAAATATTTCTGTCCATAGATGGCTCTGCTAGTCCTGATTTCACCTTTCCTTGAATTGGCGGGAAAAAACGTATTCTTACTAGTGCTATAAATATAGATGGTGTTATTTTTAACAGCAAATTAGGATAATGTTAAATATTTTCGTAAATCAATGAAAAGGGTGAACGGGCGAGACAGGCAGTTCTCATAATTGGCTCATTGGATACTTAGTACAAGTGTAGCCATCTATGCGTAAGAACAATCGAACAAGTCGACTCACAGTGGGCTTGGCATGTACATACATGCCATCCCTGGCGGCAATGGGTTAATCACCAAATAGCCAGTTTATCAGAACTACCTATTTCACCTGTTTAACCTTTTCCTTCACTTTAGGAAAGAGTTTTTTTTGTATCATATCATTGTCTAAAATATTCTAATGACAATTTAATAATCATAACATCAGCAACAATAATAACAGTATAGATAGCAATCGTATTAATTTTCCCACCAATTCAATAAATGGGAAAATCAGGGTCGGTAACTAGGGCCTACTGATAGACTCCTTGCCGGCTGAGCACAGTGGAGCCATCTGTAGGTAACAAAATTCACCAAAAGCTACTGAGGACAGAACATAAATCAGTGGCGAATGGGTTAACTGTTTTCCATGAACAGAACAGGGGGGGGGGGACAAGAGAGAGAGGGAGGGGTGAGGGGCAAGGGAGAGAGGGGGGGGTGAGGGGCAAGAGTGAGGGAGGAGGGAGAGGGAGGGAGGAAGAGGGTGAGAGAGAGAGTGGGAGGGAGGAAGAGGAGGAGAGAGAGAGTGGGAGGGAGGAAGAGGGGGAGAGAAAAAGCGGGAGGGAGGAAGAGGGGGAGAGAGAGAGAGAGGGAGGGCAGAAGAGGAGGAGAGAGAGAGGGAGGGAGGAAGGAAGAGGAGGAGAGAGAGAGAGGGAGGGAGGAAGGAAGAGGGGGAGAGAGGGAGGGAGGGAGGAAGAGGAGGAGAGAGAGGTAGGGAGGGAGGAAGAGGGGGAGAGAGAGGGAGGGAGGGAGGGAGGGGGAGAGAGAGGTAGGGAGGGAGGAAGAGGAGGAGAGAGAGGTAGGGAGGGGGGAAGGGGAGGAGAGAGAGGTAGGGAAGAGGAAGGAGGGGGAGAGAGAGGTAGGGAGGGAGGAAGAGGGGGAGAGAGAGGGAGGGAGGGAGGAAGAGGAGGAGAGAGAGGTAGGGAGGGAGGAAGAGGGGGGGAGAGGGGAGGGAGGAAGGAAGAGGAGGAGAGAGAGGGAGGGAGGAAGGAAGAGGAGGAGAGAGAGGGAGGGAAGAAGGAAGAGGAGGAGAGAGAGGGAGGGAAGAAGGAAGAGGAGGAGAGAGAGGTAGGGAGGGAGGAAGTGGAGGAGAGAGAGGGAGGGGAGGGAGGGAGGAAGAGGGGGAGAGAGAGGGAAGGAGGGAGGAAGAGGGGGAGAGAGAGGGAGGGAGGGAGGAAGAGGGGGAGGGAGGGAGGAAGGGGGGGAGGGAGGGTGGAAGGGAGGGAGGAAGAGAGGAAGGGAGGAAGAGGGAGGGAGGGAGGAAGAAGGACAGAGAGAGAGAGGGAGGGAGGAAGAGAGGCAGAGAGAGAGAGAGGGAGGGAGGAAGAGGGACAGAGAGAGGGAGGAAGGGAGGAAGAGGGGCAGAGAGAGGGAGGGAGGGAGGAAGAGGGGCAGACAGAGGGAGGGAGGGAGGAAGAGAGGCAGAGAGAGAGAGACAAGAGAGAAAGAGAGATGAGAGAGGGAGGGAGAAAGAGAGATGAGAGAGTGAGGGAGAGAGAGAGAGAAAGAGTGACGAGAGAGGGAGGGAGAGAGAGAAAGGGAGGGAGGAAGAGGGAGAGAGAGAGAAAGGTTAGAGGAGAAAGAGAGAAAAAAAAGAATATCTTGACTGTTATTGCAAAAAGTTGAGGTATTTTACAAAGTCTTGCAGGATCTGTTCTTTAGTACAGTGTCCTATTTATAAAGTTGTAGCACTTACTGACTTTCCCTATTAAAAAAGTTGACACACTATTTTTTTTTACAGTTGTGCATATCTGATTTACAACACAGAAGAGGAAGCAGAAGATGCTTTTGTACTAGCTAATAATGTCCAGGTTAAAGGTGTGAAGCTGACAGTCCTGTATCTGTCAACCCGAAAGGCTGAAGAGCTCGGTAAGAATACGGTTAACATTAAGAAGAAGAAGAAGAAGAAGAGGGCGGCATATAAGGTATGAACTTCAGCTGCATTTATAGGGTTGAAATAAAGAAGATTAGATTTTCTCAGTTATATGAAACCATTCACCATAGGGCAGGACAAGCAATTGTTGACATTGCAAAGCTACTGTGCTTCTCAGATTGATTATATAATGCATTTATTACTTTTCAGAAATCTATGCAGAAAAGGAAGGAGCAGCTGAACAATTTGGAATCATAGACTGACAGTTCCAAGAAGAATGATTAATTATCAAACTGCTGCTGCTGCTGTTGTTTCTTCTTCTTCTTCTTCTTCTTCTTCTTCTTCTTCTAATGTTTTTCTTTTCTTTCCTTGATGATGTATGGTATGGAAATATAATGTAATGTTTTCCAAAATAAAATCTAAAAAGAAAGGATTATTTTCCCCTTGTTTATTATTTTCGAACACAGAAGTCTCTCCCCTCACCCTCTTTCTTCCTTGTCCCTCTTCTTACAGTGCTACTCAACACTTCAGCAATACCTTGTAAGCAAATAATTTTATTAGTCACCCTAACTTGATGATGGTAATTGGAAACAAGAAAAGATAAAATAGGAAAAGGGATAAAATGCATTTTTACTACATTACCAGTGTCATATACTTCAAAGAGCATAAAAAAATGTTGTTGCAACACATTGAAAGGGCATAACAATTAAATTATCATGACAATATCAAGAAGGATTTTAAGCTCCCCTTTTTGGCAGTATGGAAGAGAATGAGATGGAGAAGGGAAGTCCGCATAGGGCCATCCCACTTGATGTTATATTGCAAACCATAAGACAAATTATGGAATTGTCTTAAAATGCCCATAATTACAAGGTTTGGCAGTTCTACATACAGTGTATACATTCTCCACATGTTTTCTGTTTTAAACTTATCCCATTAGTTTAAGAAGTTTCTTTGAAATTTCTTCAGTTAAACTTACAATATATATTAGTTGCTCATTGTTAACACTATTCAAGTTACACAAGTAATACTTAAGCAAATCAAAATATCTCACGATTATTTCTTTTTACTGAAGATGATGGAACTGGGCATTTTAGATTCTGTAAAACAATGGATAGGGCAGGCTTCATTTGCTCCACTTGATTTTTACAAATTTGCAAGAGTAGGAGATATACTTTTTTCTTTAAAGAAAAGTTGGAATTTTTTATAAATATACTAGGTGATGAAATGAGACCAAAATTACAGCCTTGCAAATTCCTGTCCACACGATCAACATTGCAATAAAAGGAATGGATTGTCTGTTGACAGATTTTCCCTTGTGTTGCAGAGAAGAAACAGAAAATGCCCATTCTGAAGCTTGGGATAACTCACCAACCAGTGGCCAAGATTACATATGGATCTAATATGTCAACTACTCGAATATTGAGCATAGGATGCCTTCATCAAATATGTCTGTGACATCACATACCATGCACTACAGATCCTTATTATTTTACTCACAATGTCAGGGAAGCACCACTTTGGAACCATAAAGAAAACATAATGTAGTTTCAAGCAGTTTGCATTCTTCTCAAGATAAGTGACTTGGCACATTGAATCATATGATTACTGGTATGACCGTAAGCAAATTTTATTTGCAGTATGTGAGACTTGATAACAATAGCATGTTAGGCACAGAACCACACTGGTTAATATGTCTTATTATTTTATTCCTCAGATAAACCAAACCATGAAGAGCGTTAGACTAATTATATGAATAAGAGACACACACATATATGTGTGTGCATATATATATATATATATATATATATATATATATATATATATATATATATATATATATATATATATATATATATATATATATATATATATATATATATATATATATATATATATATATATATATATATATATATATATATATATATATATATATATATATATAAATTGATACTGGTATTGATATACCAATACTTGTTATTGGTATACTTCATGAACAATCTTTGTAACACTGTATGTGTGGAAAAACCCTACAAGTTATTTTTCCCATAATTTAATGAGAAAAAGACTATAATAAACACATTGAGAGATAATCTGATCCTTAGAAAAAATGATGTTAAACCTATGAAACTGGTTTTCCCTCTTATAATGAACCTGTTTGGCCTTATCTGTCAAAGGAAAATGACCATTAGGTAAAAGTAATAGGCCATTGTTTTTCTGGACACTTTATCCCAATGCATTGTAAGCATAAGCGTAAACACAAGACATATCTTTTAGACAGTGGCTATGAGGAATCGCGAAAGGCACACATATCACCTTGCCACCTCGTCAAATGTTCCCACTGGTCCAGTTGCCTTCACTAAACCACCCCTCCTGACACCCTCTCTGCCCATGCAACAGTTCATAGGAATGATAATAATAAGAAAAGAAGAATGAGGATAATAATTATTATAATAAAGACAATGATAATTATTACATTAAAATCATTATATAACAACAATAATAAAAATGGCTATATATAATGATATTGCTATTAATACCAATAATTTCAATAATTTTAATAATGATGATGGTGATAATCATATGATAACAACAATAAAAGTAATGATAGTGATATTGACAATAATACACGATGATACGAGAAACGTAAATATGAAAAATTGACGCATAAACGTTGTCGTGGGTGTTCTTTTAAGACGGAGACAGGCCCAGTGTAGGGGATCACCCCTATCTTGGTCCTCAGCCCTCGCCTCAGCTAATTTTGCATGGTATTTTCTTTTCCTTTCCTTTTCCTTCCCTCCTTCAACCACTTCTTTTGTCCACTTATCCAAGTTGTTAACTCATTTTTACTCTTTTCGCCATATTTTATTATAGTGCTATATGACCTTTGATGCACTATTTCTAGCCATCAGCCAATAAAAAAATCCAAAACACGTTTTCTAAGTTCAAGAAACAATCAGAGAATATGTACAACTAGCCTAACGCATGTTTTTAATCGAATGGGAAACATTTCTTAAAAGGAAAAAAATATGTTAAATTTACGGAGTGCAATTTCATTACATGCATTAGAAGTTACTAAATGCACTGTTACTTAACAATATATATAAATGGGCCGAGAAAATGTATGGTAAATAAAAATAAAACTACAATGTAGTATGAAATTAAGTCATGAATTACAGAAAATATATGTTTTAAAACCTAGAAAATATCACCATGGATGTTTATAGAATAGTGTATGTTAGGGGGAGACTGCGCAGAAAAATACGAGCCACTGCACCGCATGACCTAAGCATGGAGGGAGAGAGAGAGAAGGGTTTACATTATTTTAGATAAAAAATCAAAATCCTGAAAACAGTAATGGCGAGAATTTTGACTGTAAATAATACCTAAAACAATAACCTTTACTAAAAGAGTGAATGTTGCTTCAATAGTAAAGAAGAGAGGTTATAACGATTTAATAGCTGTAACGATGTAATTATTTTCCTTTCGACCATGGGCAGCAGTCTGATGGAAACTCACTCTTCATTTATAGAAAGTAACATATTGTACTCACACACACACACACACACACACACACACACACACACACACACACACACACACACACACACACACACACACACACACACATACACACACACACACACACACACACACACACACACACACACACACACACACACACACACACACACACACACACACACACACACGCACATATATATATATATATATATATATATATATATATATATATATATATATTTATATATACATATATATATGGACAAGACAATACCTTCTATATGTATACACACGCCACCAGATTTTCACACACACACACACACACACACACACACACACACACACACACACACACACACACACACACACACACACACACACACACACACACACACACACACACACAAACACATATATATATATGTGTGTGTGTGTGTGTGTGTGTGTGTGTGAAAATCTGGTGGCGTGTGTATACATATAGAAGGTATTGTCTTGTCCAAACGCCTTCAAATATACCTAGAGGAAAAACTTAAAAGAACGCCTCGTCTTACTATCCACTTACCAAAACTCCCTATAAATTCAAGTAAAATCGAAGTAGGACATCTCTAATGAGAGATAAACTTAATCAAATTTACTTAAAAGCTAAAGATGAATAACCTAAAGGAACGATCCCGCCTTACACGAACGCCCACAAGACCTCAAGTTCACACAACAATAACACGCGGACGCAGATCTTGGCTGCAAAACACACGGTCCAACTTCAGACCTTGGCACTAATCAAGCAGAAGCTGATTTGTGGCCTTGAACAAATTGGTATGTTGGGTATTTGTTTATT